CGAGGGGGGGAGGCTTCCTAGAAGCAAGCAGCTTCTTAGAAGGCACCAGCCCTGCATTCGGAGGCGACGATAGGGGCGAATAGCCCAGGGGCGGGCATTACACGTATTCGCCCGGGAGCCCTTTCGAAGACATAGATCATCGGCGCACCCGAAATACATGCTTGGCTCTCCCTTCGGCTATCAGCCCCTACCGTCGCCTCTGATCTGTTGAGCAGGCCCGCGCCTTCACAGAAGCAGGGGTGCCTCCAGGAAGCCTTCCCCCCTCCCCCCACCCCCCTCTGCGCGTGGCCGACCCGCGGGGAGCACGGCAGAGACGGGGAGAAGGGCCCCCGACACCCGGTGCCACGCGGCGGCTTCACTGGACGGCACCGGGCTAGACGGACGCGGGCGGACTGCGCCGTGACGCCGTGCCCCCACGCCGGGGGGGCGGCGCCCCCGCGAGGTGCCCTTCGCGGAGGCCGAACGGCACCCCCTCGGCCAGCGTGTCAGTCTGGTGGCATTGGCGTGGGCACGAGAGGTTGGGGGCGAGACGCGCCGGAGACGCTAAGGGAGGGGACGGGGGGGGGAGGGAGGAGGGGAGAGGGGTGCACGAAGGGGAAGGGGGGAGAAGGGAGGAGAAAGGAGGAGGGGAGGGAAGAGGGGGGAGGATGGGGGGAGGAAAGGGGGGAGGGCGGACGATAGGGGAGAAGATGAGGAGAGGGAGAGAAGGAGAGAGACAGAGGAGACAGCCGTGGACAATTCTCCTTTACACGATCTCATGTGCAGATTGCCTGTCCAATGATGTGTCTTGGATCTACGTACCCGCTCATCCGCTATCAGAGCCGAAACGTGTCAGCACGAGGAGGTATGCGCGGTTCCTTGGCATCGGCGATCGGCGGGCCTGGGAGATCCTTCGCTACCTCACGAATACCAGACTCCGGCCAGCTTCGACCATTGAGGTCCTGGGCGCCCCAATTGGTTTCTTGTCTTGTCTAGGCGGCCAGCTAGCCCAGCACGATAGGGGCCACAGAGATGGACCCTATTCTCCACCCAATCAGACTATGTAAATCAAGAGTGAGCAGGCTGCACCACATCCTGCGATTCAGCCCTAAGTTCGGACGTCATGGCCTAGGACTTCGCGCCTTTCGCGTCAAGCTCTCTCTTGAGAGGCTCTGAAAGCTGTGCCTGGGCCCCACGTCGGCCTGCCACCTACCCAGCTTGTCGAGTCCATGTTCCAGTGTCCGCCCGAAGCAGGTGGCCACGGTATGACACTGTTGGATGCGCCGCCGTACCGGCAGCTCTGTTGGGTTGAGCTCGGGATCCACCTTGGTGGCCACGGCCGTGTACTTGGTCGAGCCAGAGGCAGGCTGCGGCACCGAGCCCGCTGGCAGGGGAGCAGCACCGCCGCCCAGTCATCCAGGACCGCTCCACCAGGAGGCGTGCCTTTGCCACCACCGGGTTCCGCATGCGACTTCGCCACAGGCTGTGAGGCCTTTCGGGGGTGATGGCCACGAGCACGTCTGAAGAGGGAGAAGCCCACAAGCCACGAGCGCCCGAAGCAGCACTGAAGCAGCAGAACGAGCTAAGCTCAGCAGCTTGCGGCCGTGCGTGCAGAATCGCGCCCTTCTCTCTTCCTTGCTGCGCTCACAAACAGCGAAGCGTGGCGCATGACGTATCCCTTTCGCCTGACGGGCGGTCAACCATTCCCGTTCGAGGTACTGTGCGACGATTGCTGGGCGGCATGGCAGTCCTGACGCTGGGGGTAGGATCGATCACCGCGGCAGCGGCACTGCTGAGAGGCCATGCGCAAGGTGCGAGAGGTGTTCTAGCGGGCTGTTGGCGCACATGCCGCCCTGAAGTTGACGTCCAAAATCACAAGATACCCGTGCCAGAACGGTACGGGTGGGCGGTCTGAATAGAGGGATTGCAGGATGGAGGAGGGGGAAGGAGTAGGAAGGGATGGATTGGGAAGGGAGGGATGGACGAGGGAGGAGGGAGAAGAATGAGGGAGGAGACAGCCCTAGGCATCGGCCTCCCCATATCGGGACGGGCAAAAATACACCAAGACCCGGCCTCCACAGGGAGAAGACGAGGGGGGGAAGACAAGGAGGAGTAGGAGAAGTGGGCAAGGAGGAGGAGGAGGGAGGACACGGAAGGGGGAGAGAGGACACTACCGCCGAGCCTCCGACAGCTCATTCTGAGCCAGATCTTAGCTGGAATGATCGGAGGAGCACCACCGAAAATACAAACAAAAGCGACAACTGTCAGAAGTCCGCGCGGATTTGCCCCAACCATCAAGTGGTGTTGGGCCCTCGCTTTGAAATGACAGCGCCCCGCGTCCCTCCTCATTTTCCTTATCCTCCCCTCCTCTTCCCCCCACCTCCCACCCTTGCCGCTGCCATCCGCATGTCCACCCTTTGAACGCACCCAATACAGCGCGTCGTGGCCCCATAGGAGCTCACCAAAAGCCCCAGCGGCTGTGAAAACATGCGCCGCCCGCGCCACCCAGTTCAGCGCTTGGTAGCCCCGTAGGGAGCTCCAACGAAGGCCCCAGTGCCTGTGACCACATGCGTCCGCGCCACCCAGTTCCGCGATTCGTAGCCCCATAAGGAACTCCACCGAAGGCCCCCAGTGGCTGTGACCACATGCGTCCGCGCCACCTAGTACAGCGCTCCGTGGCCCCATAGGGAGATCCACCTAAGGCCCCAGTGGTTGTGACCACATGCGTTCGCACCACCCAGTAAAGCGTTTCGTGGCCCCGACGAGGGCCCCACCGAAGGGCCCAATGGCTGTGACTACATGCGCCGGCGCCACCCAGTACAACGCTTCGTGGCCCCATAGGGAGCTCCACCGCAGGCCCCCGTTGCTGTGACCACATGTGGCCGCGCCATCCAGTACAACGGCTCGTGTCCCCTCAGGGAGTTCCACCGAAGGCCCCAGTGGCTGTGACCACATGCGTCCGCGCTCACCAGTACAGCGTTTCGTGGCCCCATAGGGCGATCCACCAAAGGCCTCACTGGTTGAGACCACATGTGGCCGCGCCACCGGTACAGCGTTTCGTGGCCCCATAGGGAGATCCACCAAAGGCCTCACTGGTTGAGACCACAACTGGCCGCGCCACCCAGTACAGCGCTTCGTTGCCCCATATGAAGATCCACCAAAAGCCCCCGCGGTTCTAACCACATGCGCCCGCGCCTCCCAGTACGGCGCTGCGTGACCCCATATGGGAACTCCACCGAAGGCCCACGGGATGTGACCACATGCTTCCACGCCACCCAGTACAGCTTTTCGTGGCCCCATGAGGGGCTCAACCGAGGGCCCCACTGGCTGTGACCACACGCGCCGGCCCCTCCCAGTACAGCGCTTCGTGGCCCCATTGGAAGCTCCACCGAAGGGCCCACTGGCTGTGACCACATGCGTCCGCACAACCCGATATAGCGCTTCGTGGCCCCATGGGTCCGCGCCACACAGTAGAACGCTTCGTGGCCAGCCCCATAGGGAGCTCATCCGAAGGCCTCAGTGGCTGTGTTACAACATGCGTCCGCGCCACCCAATGCAGTGTCCCATTGCCCCACCGGGAACTCCACCGAAGGGTCCAGTCGCTGTGATCACATGCGTCTGCGTCACCCAATACACCCTTAGTAGCCCCATAAGGAGCTCCACCGAAGGCTCCCACTGTTGTGACCACGTGCGTCCGCGCCATCCAGTACAGCGCGTCGTGGCCCCACAGGGAGCTCCACCGGAGACCCCAGTGGCTGTGACCACATGTCGCCGCGCCATTCAGTACAACGGTTAGTGGCCCCATAGGGAGATCCACCGAAGACACAGACACCAGTGGCTGCGACCACATGCGCCCGCGTTCGCCAATACAGCGATTTGTGGCCCCATAGGGAGCTCGATCGAAAGCCCCAATGTGCGTGACCACGTGCGTTCCATTGGAAGCTCCGCCGAAAGCCCCACCACCTGTGAAAACATGCGCCCGCTCAACCCAGTAAGCCGTGGCCTCATAGGGGGATCCCCCGAAAGGCCCCGTGGCTGTGACCACAACCGTCCGCGCCACCCAGTACGGCGTCTCGTGGCCCAACAAAAACCCCACCGAATGGACCACTGGCTATGACCACATGCGTCCGCGCCACCCTGTACAGCGCTTCGCTGCCCCACAGGAAGCTCTACCGAAGAGCCCCGTGGCTGTGGCCACATGCGCCCGCGACACCCAGTACAGCGCGTCGTGGCCTCACAAGGAACTCCACCGAAAATCCCAGTGGTTGTGACCACGTGTAGCCGCGCCATCCAGTACAACGGTTCGTGGCCCAACAGGGATACCCACCGAAGGCCCCAGTGGATGTGACCCCATGCGTCCGCGCCGCTCAATACAGCGTACAGCACTTCCTGACCCCATGGGGATATCCACCGAAAAACCCACTGGCTGTGACCACATGCGCCCGCGCCACCCAATACACCCTTCGTGACCCCAGTGGGAGCTCCACCAAACGGCCCAATGGCTGTGAAAACATGCGTCCGCGCTACCCAGTATAGCGCTTCAAAATCCCAAGAAGAGCGCCACCGAAGGCCACCAGTGGCTGTGAACACATGTGGCCGCGCCACCCAGTGAAGCGTCTCGCGGCCCCATAGGGAACCCAACCGAAGGGCCCAGTGGCTGTGACCACATGCGCCCGCGCCACCCAGCACAGCGTTTCATGGCCCCATAGAGAATTCCACCGAAGGCCCTGGTGGTTGTGGTCACACGCGTCTCCCCACCTATTTCGGCACACCTCTCGCGCGTTTCGCGGCCTGCCCCCAAGGAGTTCCACCGAAGGCCTTGGCGGCGGTGTCCACGTGCGCCCCCCCGCCCATGTCGGCATACCCGTCATACGTCTCGTGGCCCCGCAAGAGCTTCCCCTCCTTCGTCCCACCTGCCTTGCAGTATTCACAATTCCCGAAACTCACGGTTCCAGAAGACTCGCTGCGAAATCGCGACGCGTACTGGCACCGCACACGGAGGCGGCATCGTGTCAGCATCAGGCAATATGTGCTTGTTGTCCTTCCAAGAACCAGGACGTCTACCGCCCGCTGCTTGCTCTGTGAAGCGGCTCATTGCGGCGGACGTTTGCCGCGGCCTGCGCCGGAAGGCAGCTGGCGACCGACGGCATTCGCGCCGAATGGCCACGGCAAAAAGGTGTTTGGCAAGCGGTCGACATCGCAAGAAAGCACATTCGGAGAAAACGCTCTGCGGCAAATCGAGCGAATGAGCTCTGACTCGCAGCACGCGTCGCAACGAATTAAATGGACTGCGCGGCCCAAACGCGCTCGTAATACTGGCCTTTGGCCATCACCTTCTCCACGCAGTCACCCCCCAAGCCTGATTCTGTGAGCGCGCGGGCGAAGGTGGCCTTCACGACGGGAACCATCTTGCAAGCGTCACCGCACATATAAATAGAACCGCCTCTCCTGGCGTGCTCCGCCACCAAGGCTGCCCCAGGCGAGATTACATCCTGCACGCACGTCTTCCGAGCACCCTGCCTCCGCGAGAATTCAACGAAACGAACAGCTTCAAACAACCCTCCTTCTCCCAGGCCCCCAGTTCGTCGCGGCATGCGCAGTCGGACTCGTCCTGGCTGCCAAAAAAGAATACGTTCTCAGACCTGCCATCTACCACGCGGTCTTGGATGAAGCCACGCATCGGGGCCGCGCCGGCGCCTGAGCCCACCACGATCACGGGCGCGTCGCCAGCCGGCAGCCGGACCGCTGAGCCCGCGTCCTCCACGAACGCCACCAGGGGCACGCCCAGCCTGGACGCGCCCACCGGCCGGGAGGGCACGACGGGGGACGGGCAGGGCGTCTGGCCAGTCTGGGAATTCCGGAAGTTGGAGAACAGGCCGAGGTGGAGCTGGCCCGCGGGGGAGCGGCCCTGCACGACGCTCACAGACATGGTCGCGGTCTTGGGCGAGGACTTCGGCGAGGGGGAGATCGAGTAGCACCGCGGTTTCATCGGCGGAGGCGCCCCATGCGCCGCGCCCGCGGGGGCCTTGACGGACGGGTGCCCGCGAAGGGTCGCCGGGGTCGCGCGCCTGGGCCGCAGCCCGCAGCGCTCGCACTCGTCGGGGCCCCCCTCCGGCAGCTCGCCGGCGTTGCCGCGCCCGCGCTCCGCCAGCACGCGCAGGTGCTCAGCCTCTGCTGGGTCGGCGGCCAGCTTCGCGAGGGCGCGCAGCTGGGGGCGGGAGGCGGGCTGCCGGAGCTCGAAGTGGCGGGCCAGCGCGACGAAGGCGTTCACCTGCCTGCCCGGCGGCACGGTCGACAGAGGCCGGCCCCCCCCAGCCCCAGGCGCGCCGCCGCGTCGCGCGCCAAGCCAAACTGGCCCATGCAGGCGAGGGCAAAGTCGTCCGGGCTGGCGCCCACGACGCCGAGGTGGTCGCCCGCCAGGTAGCTGGCCCCCTCTGGGAGCTGCACCTCCACGCGACGGGCGGAGCGCCCAGGTGCCGCCAGCAGCTCGCGATTGCTCGCCGCGTTCGCCGGGAAGGCGCGGTCGCCCGGCAGGAACGAGTTCAACGCCCGCTGCTTTGACTCCTCGGCGCTGGCCCTCGCCACCCCGATCGGGATGTCATCCGCCCGGCGCCCAGCTTCAGCAGCACCTCGTAGACGGGGGGCTGCAGGCGCACGCTCTCCTCAGCACTTTCGGGGGCCCGGGCCACGCGGGCCCGCGCGAGCGCCGCCGACGCCGAGGCGAGCCAGCGGGCAAAGCTGAACTCGGACACCCCGCCGCCCACGTCGCCCTCGCCGAGCGGCATCATCGGTTCGGCGCCCAAGCTCTCGAGGCGCTCCTGCACCCGGCGCGGGAACTTCACGCGCGCGGCCGCCCACTGCCCGTTGCCGCACCCGAAGACGCCGAAGCGCGCACCCGCCACCGCGGCCTGGGCGCTGGGGGCGTCGACCCACTCGCTGAAGCGGCGGGCGTTGTCGGGCGGCCGCCCGTTGCGCGCGCGCGACGACAATGGCGGCGCCGTCTGTGCCCTTGCGCAGCGGGAGGCCCGATGCCAGCCGGTCCATCGGGCGCCTCTCCAGCGCCATGCCGACGCGCTTGCCCGTCGAGGCGGCGCGGTCCGCAAGGCCCTCGCAGGTGCCCATGTTGGAGACGAACAGTACCACGAGCCGCTCGCCCCTCAGCTCCTCCACCCCGCGGACTTCGCGCAACCTGCGCCGAGGCGGCGGCCGCCACCGCCGGCACCGACGGAGGAGGCCTCTCGACGCCCGCGCCTCGCGGGACACACCTAAGGAGGATGCCCCGCGGGCCCAGGAACAGCGGCGCGGCCACGGAGAGCCTCGCGGCGGGGCCCAGCCGCAGGCGGGACCGGCGGCAGAGCGCGGCGAGGCGCACGCGCTGCTCGATCAGCGAGAGCTGCTGACCGACGCAGGCGCGCTCGCCGCAGCTGAACGGCGGCCGCGCGCAGGAGGGCCTCCCAGCGGCGTTCTCGTCCGACCAGCGGCCCGGGTCGAACCTCAGGGGATCGGGGTAGACCTTTGGGTACCTGTGGAGGCCCAGGGTGCTACAGAACAGGCTAGTGCCTGGCGAGATCCAGCATGGCCCCAGGCTGACCTCCCCGTCAGGCGGGCTGACGATGTCCGGCGCGGTCGCGAAAAGTCTGAGATTATCCTTAACCACCTGCGCGCAGTACGTCATCCTGCCCAAAGCCCCCCACGTGATCGGGCCGCGGCCAACGATGGACATCATCGCGATCGCGGTGCAAGCGCCGTCGTGCCCGGCGACGCGGAATGTCGCGGCCTGGCAGGCGACGTTGTCTGCGGGGAGCATCTTGCCTGCCCCTGGGTCTGGCACGGTGAGCACACGGGCCGCCGCGCCCTTCACCACCCTCCCGCCCACCCCACCAGCAGCGGTAAAAAGGCCACCGCTGGGGTCCGTCGCCACAGCGCCGCTGACAGGGCAGCCACCGCTGCCGTCCCTGCCGACCGTGAAGCTCTGCTTCTTGGCCGCGATGAGGGCCTGCATCTCCTCCGCAATCTGGCCCTGCACGCGTTGGAGGCGCGCAGACTCTCCAGACATCACGCCCGCCACGCGCTTGGCGGGCGCGACGCCGCCCCCGACGCCCCCGCTCGGACGCAGCCGGGACTCGGAGAAATCCGCGAAGAGGTCGAGGAAGCGGCGCGGCAAGGTCAGGGACCAGCAGACGTGGCCGAAGTCGACCCTGCCAATGATGTCGAAGGCGCAGCAGCGCAAGAGCGGATGCAGGTCGACGGCGCCAGCGGCGCCTCGGCGGCTGAACTGCTGGGCGAGCGTCTCGGCGGCGTCCAGGATGATCGAGAAATACTCCTGCGCGCCCTTCATGGAAGAGGCCGGCAGCAGGATGCGAGCCGCCAGGTCGTGGACGAGCTCGTCGTCGTCCACGGTACAGCGGCCCTGGCCAAACACGCCCTTGCGCAGCGGACTGCGCTTGAAGAGCCGTTTCTGGAAGACCTCCGGGCGGCGGAACATCTCGCCGAGCAGGTCCGGGTCCGCGACCACCGCGGCGGCGCCCCCGAGCTTCTGCAGCGGCAGGCCGACGAGCCCCGAGGGGATCTCGAGCGCGAAGAAACGATAGTTTCGACCATATTTTGGAAGTCGCAAAGACAAGCGCCGCGACAGCTCTCCCACCCCCCATCCCCCTGAGGCAATGCTGGGGCGACCGACGAGAGACGACGGCAATGGACTTCATCGGTGACGTCGTCGCGCCGCTTCCTTGCTCAGCTTTGCATCGCTGGCGAGAGGAGGGGGGGGCGCGGGCTGCGCGTTCGCCCTGCCGCGGCGACAGATTCGGCTACCCCCGCATGGGCGCGCCGTGGCATTTCCGCCTCGATCGCCTCCCGAGAAGCGCAATCTGGGGCAGCGCTGTCAGAACTAGTACCCCGCAGACGCCAAGACTGTCCGCGGTGTCACCAGGGCCTCGTGAATGAGAAGCGAGTGCACGGGCCGGAGATCTGGCTCGGCGGCTCGATTCTGCGCGGTCGTTCTTCACGCACGCCCCGGTAGTACCACCCGCCCGATCCTTGCCGCCGCCGGGGAGCCCCGTGCGGTCGCACAGGTGTCCGACGATGGGCAGGGGCGACGGGCCGCGCGGGATCGGCGGGCCCTCGGCGTCGGCCGGCCGCCTCCGCCGGCCTGCGGCCCCCGCGTCGGCGCGGAAGATGGGGGCGGGCATGTAGGGCGACGAGATCTATGCATATCCACTGCTCCTGGCCAGGCCCATCCTGGGCCCAGGAGCTGTGTATATGCCTCCCTGGCCAGGCCAGGAGGGCGTATACACCGCTCCTGGGCCCAGGATTGGCCTGGCCAGGAGCAGTGGATATGCATAGATCTCGTCGCCCTAGCATGGTCGGCAGCATGCCTTCGGGGCGGGCGGAGGCGAGCGGCGTACCTCGGCCGTGGTGCAAGCGGGGGCGGCCAGCTCGAGCCAGGGAACCTCGAGCCAAAAAAGAGGCTGCGGATCCCGGGGGTCCGCGCGGAGCTCTCTGTCGCAGGCCCAGAGGTCGACACCAACACCAATGTCGGCGGTGTGCCCCCACCGAGGGAAGAAGATCCCGATCTCGGCGATGGTGGCAATATTCTGGCTTCCCAGGTGACCGAAATATTACCACCAGCACCGAGATCCAGGACCATCTTCCCCCTGTGGAGGCAAACCCCTGTGCTGGTGTTGGTGCCAACTTCCAGGCCTCCAACTCTGGTCGGGCCTGGGCCCCACTGCCCGAGGCCCTTCCCTGGCGCTCGGAGCGCGCCAGGGGCGGCGGGCGTGGCAGGAAAAGGGGGTGCAGCGCGGATCCGAGAAGTCCGCGCGAACCTCCGACGAGTTCTCTTTAATCTGTTGTCGTCGATGCAGGCCTCCACGGGCCCAGTCTGGACAAGATCGTGGCGTGCACACCGTTGCCTCTCGGCATGGCCAGCACCCGAAAAGAACGAGGACCTGGTCCAGAACGGGCCTGTGGGGGCCGGTGGTGGCGCATACGTTCCCCCTCCCGACCCCAGGGATCTGTCCAGAGGCCGCTCCTGGTCATCCCCTTTCCCCCTCCCCATGGAGCCCAAAATCGCACGAGAGAAGGGTGGGGGGCCAGAAGGAGAAGGGTAAGAGCTCCTCCGCGCACCCCCAGGGCCTCCAGGGCCTCCAAATCCAGCCTCCGTCGCCTCCAAGATGCCCCAAATGCCTCCTCGTACAGCTCCAGCACGCCAGCGAGGCCTCAAGAACACCCAAGATGCCAGATTGCCTCAAGGCACCCCAAGAAGCCCCTAGAGGGCCCCAAGAGGACCCCCGAAGAGGGCCTCACGAGGGAAAAAACACTGCTTGCCAGCAGGTTCTTGAACGATCTTCACATTCTTGCATTTTCTGGTTCCAATGAATCCAAGACGGTTCGGGAGGCCCCCAGACCTGCCTAAGACGGCCCGAAAGGCCCCAAAGAGGGCCTGGAGACGAACCTAGAGGGCCCCAAGATGGACCAAGAGGCCCCCAAGACGACCAAAATGCCCCCCAAGAGGGTCCCAGGAGAGGGCCCCAGAGGGGGAGCTCGCAGGGACCCTGGGAGCCCTCCCAAGTCAGATAGCCCTCAAGATCCCCCCCCCAGAGGGACCCCCAAAGCCCCCAGGACATTTCAAAAGGCTGCAAGAAGCCGTCCACGCAGGCCTCGGCGGGGGCTCCCACAACCGACGCGGAGGCCAAGTCAGCAGCAACCACCCGCAGGCAGCACGACGGGAGGAAATCGGAAGCCGCACATCTCTTCCGGGGGTCGGTGGAATGGCGCAAGCCTCTTGAGTCTGCTCGCCCACCGGACCGAGGGGCGTGCGAGACTCACGTGCGAGAGCTCCTTCCGTGGCTTCACACCCCCCTTTTGGACCCCCCCAGAGTCCTCTGCCCTTCCGCCGCCCAGCTGCACTGGTGCCCCCGTCCGGGCGCCAAGACGCCTACCAGACGGCGCCCGCAGCGAGCTCGACTTTCAGACCGTTCCCAACACGCCCTCGGGGCGCAATTTGGCTCCAATTTCGCCCCTCTTGAACCCTTCGTGACCTCCAATATTTGCTCCTGAGGCACTCAAGAGCGCCTGTTGGTCCCAACTTCGATTACAAATTCGAAATTTCACAAATACATCAAAAACCCTGAATCTTTGGTGTAGGTTGCCTAGTCGGGGGTCGCCCGGATTCGTCTAACAGCTCATTTTCGGGCTCGTCTTGGGTTTTTTTCTCCAAATTCAAACTTCGACTACGTTTTTGGACGCGCTCTTGGGTCAATGTTGGACGATACTCGACCCAACTTAGGGCCCAAAACGCCGCCCAAACCAGCCCCGAGCCGGCCCGGTTTTGTATGGCATTATGACGGGGTTGCGGCCCAACGCGGAACTGCTCTCGCGTGGGCCGTCCAGAATCATCCGGGTAGCCTCGTGCCCTTCTAAATTTATTTTCGACGCAAGGGCCCCGACGCAGAGATCTCTCATAGTTTGCGGGCCAAAAAGCCCTATACCAAAGGGTGTCGAACAGTAGGCGTCGGAATCAGACACGTAAAAAACATGAATTTCGGCACGCGTGCGTTCGGCTAATGCTCATGTGAGTCAGGCCCCGACGGGGCCGCAAACGAGGAACCCAACTTTGAAGGTGCCGAATTCTTCACACGTAGAAATAGGAGCGCGGAGCGGGAGGGCCCAACGCCAACATGCCCGTGGGGCGTGCGCGCGGAACGCGTGTTTTCCCGCGTCCACGGGGCCCCAGGGGGACCCAACTTGGGGGTGGCGGAGTCTTTACACGTAAACTTGCGTGCGCGGAGGGGGAGGGGGAGGGGGAGGGGGAGGAGGAGGAGGAGGAGGAGGAGGAGGAGGAGGAGGAGGAGGAGGAGGAGGAGGAGGAGGAGGAGGAGGAGGAGGAGGAGGCCCAACGGAGAGGGGGGGGCCCAACGTGCGCCTGGCGCGCGCGCGCGCCGAGCACGTGTTCTCACGTGTTTTTCGGGCCACGACGGGGCCGCAGGCGAGGAGCCCAGACTGTAGGTACCCCTCCTCCTCCTCCTCCTCCTCCTTCTCCTCCTCCTCCTCCTCCTCCTCCACGAAGGGGGTGGGCAACATGCCCCTGGCGCATGCGAGCGACGCACCAGTTTTCACGTGTCAACATGGCCCCAGGGATATCCGAGCTGGAGGTGGAGAATTCGAGGCGCGAAAACATCACGCGCGCGGAAGGGGGGGCCCACGGAGAGGGGGGCCCAACATGCGCCTGGCGCGTGCGCGCCGTGCAAATGTTGTCAAGCGTGTCGGGCCACGACGGGGCCGCAAGCGAGGGACTCGAATTGCAGGTGCCGAATGTTTTACCCGCTGAACATACTTGCGCGGATGGGGGGCCCAACATGCCCCTGGCGCGTGTGCGCGCGGCGCAGCAGTTTTCACGTGTCAACATGGCCCCAGGGTCCGAGCTGGAGGTGGAAATTTGTTGCGCGAAAACACTACGTGCGCGGAGGGGGAGGGCCCAACGGAGAGGGGGGCCCAACATGCGCATGGTCCGTGCGCACGGAGCACATGTTTTCAAGCGTTTCGGGCCACGACGGGGCCGCAAGCGAGGGACCCAACTTGCAGGTGCCGAATTCTGCTGCCACAAAACATACGTGCGCGGAAGGGGTGAGAACAGCATGCGCCTGGTTCTTGCGCGCGGGGCACTGTTTCACTTGTCCACGGGGCCCCAGGGGGACCTACCATGATGGTGGCGAATTCTTCCTACGCAAAATTACGTGCGCGGCGGGGGGGACAACGGAATGGGGGGGTGGGGGGGCAACGAGTTCTTGACATGTAAAAATACGCGCGCATATGGGGGGCGAGCATGCCCCTGGCGCGTGCGCGCGAGGCACGTGTTTTCGCGCGTCCACGGGGCCCCAGAAGGACCCATCTTGGGGATTGAGAATTTGTCACGCGAACACATACGTTCGCGGGGGAAGGGGCCAACGGAGATGAGGGGCCCAATATGCGCCTGGTGCGTGCGCGCGGAGCACGTGTTTTCTAGCGTTTCGGGCCTCGACGGGGCCGCAAGCGATGGGCCCAACTTGCAGGTGCCGAATTCTTTACACGTAAAAATGCACGCGCGGAAGGGGGGCCAACATGCCCCTGGCGCGCGCGCGCGCGGCGCACCAATTTTCACGTGTCCACGGGGCCCCAGGGGGACCCAACTTAGGGGTGGGGAATTCTTTACACGTAGAAAAATATGCGCGAAAGTGGGGCCCAACTAAGGGGGAGCCCAACATACGCCTGGCGCGTGCGGGCGGAGAACGTGTTTTCAGGTCTTTCGGGCCACGACGGGACCGCAAGCGAGGGACTCGACTTGCAGGTGCCGAAATCTTGCACGTAAAAATACGTGCGGAGCAGGCTTAGGCTTCGGCTTAGCGAGCGTCTGCTCCAGGAAAGCAACGCCACGCGGCAAACACGCTACAGTGCGATTGTCCTCAGGATCAGAAGTGCCGTTGTGCGTACCCTCGGTGAGAGAAAACTCCGGAAGATGTGTCCGCCAGGATGCTTTGCTGCGAGTTGTGGCCTGCCAGTCGCCGTGCCGGAAGAACTTGTCCAGGCGGCGCTCCCACCTCCAAACGCGAACTTTGCGACCATGCATCTGTTTGCCCCCGTTCCGCGCGGCTCCCTGCTGGATCCATTTGTAATCTCTGTGCTGCAGGACCCAGTGTGGGACCCAGTCGTGGTCGTAGTCGCCCATGCGTTTGTATGACCAGCCCCTGCGAATACATGCTCAAAATAAGCATTGCTCCACTCTTGGAAACCGTCCTGCTCTTTCGCTCGGTTGCTGTTCTGCCCAATTCGCTCCGTGAATGCTTCGGTCGTCTCCGCCGGGCAGCAGGAGCAGAAGGAGCAGGAGCAGGAGGAGGAGCAGGAGAAGAAGGATGAGCAGGACGTGCAGGCGGTAGCGGCTGCAGACAAGCAAATAGAAAAAGTCGCACGCGCATCAGAAGAAAGTTGAACTCCAGTTCCTTCCTGGTTTCGTGAATCTCTCAAGTTTGGGCCCTTCTCGAAACCCTCGTCGGCCATCGTGGACGCCTTTTTGGCCGCTTTCGGGCCGTCTATAGCTGGTCTCGGGCAGCGTTCAGGCTATCTCTGGCCTCCTGCCGTGGATAGGGAATGCGGGTTCCATAGAGCCAGCGTCCATACCACTGATCCGTTGGCAAAGATGACGGGCCGACGACTACTCGACGAATTCATCATCGACCCGCCACACGGCACACCTAAGCCCAATCTGCGATGGGATGGAGGAGAAATGGAGCGGAGTGAAAATACAAAACACACATGCGGGGGGAGCTTCTCATTATGTTCGGGATATCGTCAGCCAGTCTTGGTGCCATCTGCGCCTATTCTGGCGAGAACTGAAATGGGCGGGGGGTGACCGCGAAGCGTCTTGAATGAAGCGGAAATCTGAGTGGGACTCCCACTAAGCCAGGAATGGAATGGCCTGCGAGCGCGGGGGGGGGGCCTTTTTCCTGCTCAGTGTGCGTGGGCACCGACAAAGCGCACGAGCGAGGTCGCCAACACGTGAAAAATGGTCGCGGGACGGATGTCGTTCACCGCCGTGTCCAAAAACAAACGAACAAACAGCTCCTCCTCCTCCTCCTCCTCCTCCTCCTCCTCCTCCTCCTCCTCCTCCTCCTCCGTCCTCCTCCTCCCCCTCCTCCTCCTCCTCCTCCTCCTCCTCCTCCTCCTCCTCAGTGTCCTGCAGGCGCTCTCGTGCCTGCGGTAATCTAAGTGGCACAAGATGAGCAGCGGCGACGGCTTCGGGTACAGCCTCGTGTTGTGCTGGGGCAGGGCCGCAGACCATGAACTCTCCTCATCCCCATCCGCACCTACATCTCCTCCCCCCTCCTCCTCCTCCTCCTTCTCCTCCTCCTCCTCCTCCTCCTCCTCCTCCTTCCTCCTCCTCCTCCTCCTCCTCCTCCTTCCTCCTCCTCCTCCTCCTCCTCCTCCTCCTCCTCCTCCTCCTCCTCCTCCTCCTCCTCCTCCCACCCCCTCACCCAGTCATTGGGCATGAAACCGTAGACAGATGGAAGGAAGGGACAAGGGGGAAGGAGGAAGGAGCACGAGAGAGGGTAACAGGAGGGGGGCTACGAGCAGAAAGCACGTGGCGGAACCAGACGGGCAGTTCGGGCGGGTAGACCCTAACGGGCGGGTCGGGAAGGCGGGCCCAGCCGGCCAGAAGTCGAGCAGGTGGGTTGCAGAAGCGTGGGTCCTACATGGATCGCGAAGAAGCCTCGAACGATAGCGCGATTCCCAAATGAACCGTGAGGAAATTCACTGCGAGATACAATAGCAACAACAACAACAACAACAACAACAACAACAACAACGACAACAACAACAACAACAACAACAACAACAACAACAACAACAACAACAACAACAACAACAACAACAACAACAACAGCAAAACTTTAAGACTGTTCGCTCTCACCTGCTCGCGGGCCACCCATCACGTATATCCCAAACCCTCGATACCCGCCCTCTTCGTCTTCGATCGTACCCCCTTGGGGGTCTGTCTTTCTTACCTGCAACGTGTATTTCGTGTAGCCCCGACGGCATGGGAAGAGAGAACGGATGGAAGGAAGGGACAAGGGGGAGGGAGGAGGATGGAGCACGAGAGAGAGTAGCAGGAGGGGGCAACGATCAGAAAACACGTGGCAGAACCAAACGGGCAAATCGGACGGGTAAAACCTAACGGGCGGGTCGGGAAGGCGGGCCCAGCCGGCCAGGTCGAGCAGGCGGGTTGCTGAAGCGTGCGTCCTGCAGAAATTGCGAGGAAGTCTCGAGCGATAGCGCGACTCCAAAGTAAATTGTGAGGAAATCCACAGCGAGAGCGTGAATCTTGAGTGTCGAGGGCGCGGCGTCTGAACAAACTGAGAGGAATTCCCACGCGAGAGCGCGATTCCTGCAAAAATTGTCGTGAAGACGTCACGCGGGAGAACGCGATTTGGGAACCAATTATGAGGAAATATCACGCGGGAGTCGTTGTTGTTGTTGTTGTTGCTGTTGTTGTTGCTGTTGTTCTAAACCGGGGTCCAGGGGCGCAGCTCGGTGACACCCCGCTTTCCCTTGCAAAAAAAACGTGTGCGAGCCCAGAGAGAAGCACCGTATTTGAAACATACGATGGTTACTGGGCAAGGGGAATTAGCAAGAAGTATGGTTCGGGAAACGGGAATTTAACAACAATAACAACAGCAGCAACAACAACGACAACGACAATGACAACGACAACGACAGCGACAGCGACAACGACAACGACAACAACAACAACAACAACAAGTACCATTACTACCACTACTACTACTACTACTACTACTACTACTACTACTACTACTACTACTACTACTACTACGACTACGACTACGACTACTACTACTACTACTACTACTACTACTACTACTACTACTACTATTACTACTACTACTACTACTACTACAACTACTACAACTACTACAACTACTACTACTACTACTACTACTACTACTACTACTACTACTACTACTACATCCCCATCAGCTTCACCATCATCAACCACAACGACAACCACAGACAGAACAACTGCAACAGCAGCAATAACAACAAGCAGCAATAACAACAGCAACCACAACCACAACAACGACAACAGCAACAACAACCCATCAACGACAACAACAACAACAACAGCAACAGCAACAACAACCACAACAGCGACAACAACAGCATCAGCGACAGACAACAACGGCAGCAGCAACAGCCACAACAACAACAACGACAACGAAAATCACAACCACAACGACAACGATAACGACAACGACAACGACGACGGCAACAACTATAACCAACTACTACTTCTACTACTAATAATAATAAGAATACATCGTCATCATCATCACCATCAACAACAACAACAGCCACAGCCACAACCGAAACCACAACAGCAGCAACAAAAACAAGAACAGCAGCAACAACAACAGCAACAGCACAACAACAGCTACAACAACAGCAGCAGTAGCAGAAGCAACAGCTGCAGCAACAAAAGCAGCAACAACAATAATAACAGCAGCAGCCACAGCAACAATTACAATGACAACGACAACGACCACGGCAACGACGACAACCACAATTACGACTACTCCTACCACTACATCATCATCATCATCATCATCATCATCATCACCAGCACCATCAAAATCATCATCAACAACAACCGCAACCACAACCACAGCAACAACAATAGCAACAACAACAACAACCGCAACAACAAAAACAGCAACAGCAAGAGCAACAGCAACAACAACAACAGCAACAACAACAGTAACAACAGCAGCAGCCACAGCAACAACAACAACAACAACAATCACAACGACAACGACAACGATCATTTTAAGACTTTTCGCTCTTACTGGCACGCGTGTCTCGCATTCTGTATACTCCAACCCTCGATACCCGCCCATTTCGCCTTCGATCCCACCCCGTTCGGGGGGAATACCTTGTCGGCCACGGACTGAAGCGCGAGGAATCGTCAAACGAGAGCGCCGTTCCAAAGTTCGGGGGCCTCTCTGGCCAGGGGCTCTCGGAATACACATTGAGAAATATCGAACGGGAACCCTTGTCGCCGTGTCTGGGCCTCCACCAACTTGCCTGAATTACGAGAAAGTCTCGAGCGAGAGCGCCACTCTTGAGTTCGGGGGCTTCTCTGGCAAGGGCCTCTGCGAATACACATCTTGAGGAAGTATCGAACGGGAGCCATTGTCGTCGTAGTCGGGCCTCCACCACATTGATTGAATCACGAGAAAATCTCGACCGAGAAAATCGTTTCTGAGTTCGGGGGCCTTCCTGGCTGGGGGCTCTCAGAGTAAATCGTGAGGAAGTAACGGGCAGGAGCCCTTGTCGTCGTGGCTGGGCCTGCGCCAACTTGACTGAATTGCGAGGAAATCTCGAGTGAGAGCGCTGTTCCTGAGATCGGGGGCCTCTCTGGCCAGGGTGTCTGGGGCAACTTGTGAGGAAATATCGAGCGGGAGCCGTTGTCGTTGTAGCCGGGCCTCAAAGGGCACACATTTGCACTCAAGCCAACGCTCGCGCGGGTGCCTCGTTTTCACAGAAAATGTAGCCAGCGTCGAGGCGAGAGCGCGCGGACCCGTTTCCGGAGATCAGCAATAAATCTTCTCTAGAAACGAGCACTCAACAACAACAAAAACAACAACAACAACAACAACAACAACAACAACAACAACAACAACAAGGAAAAGGCGCGCGTGAGAGCCCCGTGAGCTCTAGCCGTCTGGACCCGCCCTCGCCTTATTGCGAAGGCTGCGCTCAGAGCCCCGTGGACGCATTCTGACCCCCCCCCAGCAACAGCAACAGCGACCAGCAACCCAAAAAAAAACATCCTGGAACTCCCTTGGACTCCCTTACGGACCTTGACGTGGTCCTATGGGTGAAAAGCGTATGCGGGCCGGCGTGCCGCCGCTTCAATACAGATCTGATACAGGCTGTATGAGATCCTGTAGAGATCCGATACAGACTGTATGGGATCCTTTAAATGGGATCCTTTAGAGATCCGATACAGACTGTATAGGATCCTGTAGAGATCCGATACAGACTGTATGGGATCCTATACAGATCCGATACAGACTGTATGGGATCCTATAGAGATCCGATACAGACTGTATAGGATCCTGTAGAGATCCGATACAGATTGTATCGGATCCTATACAGATCCGATACAGACTGTATGGGATCCTGTAAAGATCCGATACAGACTGTATCGGATCCTATACAGATCCGATACAGACTGTATGGGATCCTGTAGAGGAATCCTTAAGAATCCTGAGGAACCCTGGGGGGCTCAGGAACCCCCTGGAATCCGAAGGCCACAGCGGACGCACCCATTTCGGCACACCCCTCACGGAGATATTGCCCCCCCCCTATCGGTGAGCTCCGCCGAAGGCCACAGCGGCTGCGCCCATTTCGGCACACCTTCTGGCGGACCTTGGCCCCCCATCGGAGAGGCTGCCGAAGGCCCCAGCGGCCGCGGCCATTTCGGCACACCCCTCACGTGGATCGTGGCCCGCCATCGGGGAGCTCCGCCGAAGGCCCCAGCGGCTGCGCCCATTTTGGCACACCCTTCACGTGGATCGTGGCCCCCCATCGGGGAGCTCCGCCGAAGGCCCCACAGCTGCGCCCACTTCGGCGCAACACTCACGCGGATCGTGCCCCCCATCAGGGAGGTCCGCCGAAGACCCCAGCGGCTGCGCCCATGTCGGCACACCCCTCACAAGGATCGTGGCCTGCCGTCGGGGAGCCCCGCCGAAGGCCACAGCGGCTGCGCCCATTTCGGCACACCCTTCACGAGGATCGTGGCCCCCAATCGGGTACCTCCGCCGAAGGCCCCAGCGGCTGAGCCCATTTCGGCACACTCCTCACGTGGATCGTGGCCCCCCCTCGGAGAGCTCCGCCGAAGGCCCCAGCGGCTGCGCCCATTTCGGCACACCCTTCACGTGGATCGTGGCCCCCCCCCATCGGGGAGGTCCGCCCAAGGCCCCAGCGGCTGCGCCCATTTCGGCACACCCCTCACGTGGATCGTGGCCCCCAACCGGGGAGCTCCGCCGAAGGCCCCAGCGGCTGCGCCCACTCCGGCACACCCCTCACGAGGATCGTGGCCCCCCTCGGGGAGCTCCGCCGAAGGCCACAGCGGCTGCGCCAATTTCGGAATTCCAATGGGGGCCTATAGAATTCCGATGGAGGCCTATGGAATTCAGATAGAGGCCTATAGAATTCCGATGGAGGCGTATAGAATTACGATGGAGGCCTATATAGAAGTCGTATGGAGGGCTATGGAATTTCGATAAAGGCCTATAGAATTCCTATGGAGGCGTATAGAATTCCGATGGGGGCCTATAGAATTCGTAAGGAAGCCTATAGAATTCCTATGGGGGCTTATAGAGTTCCGATGGAGGCCTATAGAATTCCGATGGAGGCCTATATAGAATTCGTATGGAGGGCTGTAGAATTCCGATGGAGGCCTAAATAGAATTCCCATGGAGGCCTATAGAATTCCGATGGGGGCCTATAGAATTCCTATGGACGCGTATAGAATGTGTATGGGTGCCTATAGAATTCCGATGGAGGCTTATAGAACTCCTATGGAGGCCTATGGAATTCGTATGGAAGCCTATAGAATTCCTATGGGGGCCTATAGAATTCCTATGGAGGCCTATAGAATTCCGATGGGGGCCTATAGAATTCCGATGGAGGCCTATATAGAAGTCCTATGGGGGGCTATAGAATTCCTACGGAGGCCTACAGAATTTCTATGGAGGCCTATACAATTTCTATGGAGGCCGATAAAGTTCCTATGGGGGCTTATATAGAGAATTCCTATGGAGGCCTATCGAATTCCTATGGAGGCCCATCGAATTCCTATGGAGGCCTATAGAATTCCCATGGGGGCCTGTAGAATTCCTATGGAAGCCTATAGAATTCCGATGGGGGCCTATAGAATTCCTAGGGAGGTCTATAGAATTCCTATGGAAGCCTATAGAATTCCTAGGAAATCCTATTAGGGAATCCTTGGCGCCCCCAGGAGACCCCCAGAGAGGGTTGCTCGGTTGCTCGGTTGCTGGGGGGGGGGGCGGCCGGGGCTCCCACGCGCGCCTTTTCCAACAACAACAACAACAACAATCATTTTACCCGAACGCGTGGTGTTCTCCCCAGTGCCAGGGTTTTCATACGACACCAGGCAATACCCCCACTTCGTGGGGGGGCATTACAAGCTCTACCAAATATCCAAACGACTCTTCGCGACCACCCAAACCCAGCTTCCCGCCCTATGACGTTGGGACACTTCACTTCGTGGCGTGCGGACGACCGTGGCTACTACACTGGCGTGGGGTACACACCCACAGAACTTGGTCACTTATTCGGGGCGCGCATGTGCCCAGCATGGTGGAGATTTCGGCGTGCGCGCGCAAAAAACGAATGTGTCCCGCATGGTATTATTTGACAGGGATGATGGCCCTGGCAGGTGCGCAACCGTTGTCGCAGAAGTTCGAAAAAGTTGCTCGCAAAAGCCCGTTTGACAGAAATGTTGAAAAAGTGTTGGGTTTCCTACGAATCCGCAAGAGCGCGCGGGATGAGATTTTGACATTTTTTTGTTGAAAAACCATTGGTTTTTTGATGTTTTTATGTTGAAATCGCTCCGAACACTAAGCTTTTGGAAGGATTTCGTCTTGCGCGCGCGAATGTCCACTTTACCTTATTTTTTGCAAGGGATTCTTGAAATTTGATTATATTAGAACAAGAAATGTCATTTTATAGTGTTTTTTGCAAGGGAAAGCGGGGGGGAACAAAACAACCGGATCTTGATCACATCGAATTACCTGAGGCTTCCTCACGAAAATGATGAAAATGTAGCTGCGGCCTAGGCGCGGCAGGGGGGGCGTGCACCAGGGGGCCCAACAATAATTATTCTTTAGAATTAATAATGTTCAACAACAACAACGACAACGACAACGACAACGACGACGACGACGACGACGACGACGACGAGGACGAGGACGACAACGACACCAACAACAACAGCAGCAGCAGCAACAACAACAACAACTAATACTACTATTACCACTTCTACATCATCATCGTCATCAGCAGCAGCATCATCAATACAACAACAACAACAACAACCACAACAACAACAACAACAACAACAACAAGAACAACAACAACAACAACAACAACAACAACAACAACAACAATAACAACAACAACAACAACAACAACAACAACAACAACAACAACAACAACAACAACAACAACAATAACAACAACAACAACAACAACAACAACAACAACAACAACAACAACAACCACAACCACATCCACAACCTCAACCGAAACCACTACCACAACCACAACCACAACAGCAACCACAACGACAGCAACAGCAACAATAACAATATCAGCAACAACAGCAGCAACAACAGCAACGACAGCAACCGTAACATAACAACAACAATAATAACAACAAGAGCAACAGCAACAGCATTACCAAGAACAACAACAACAGCACCAACAGCAACAGCAACATCAACAGCAGCAGCAACAACAGCAACGGCAACAGCAAGAGCAACAACAACAACAACAACAATAACAGCAGCAGCGGCAATAGCAGCAACAACAAGGACAACCACAACCACAACCAGAGCAAAGACCAAAACCACAACTAGTTCACCCTCATGCGCCATGCTTCAACATGCCACATGCGTCCATCATGATGCCGCCCCTCTCAGGGGGAGCTGAACGGAAAGGAGACCGAGATTCTCGCACTCAGATCTCCTCCCTTTCCCTCCCCGCGTGCCGCCCCGCCCCCTCCCCCATGCGGCGCCCCTCCTGCTGCCCCCCCGCCACCCCGCCCCCGCCACGCCGCCTCCCCCCGATCTGCGGGCACGCGGTCGACCGCCGGGTGTGCCGAGGAAAATCTCTCTGGGCCGCCCTCCCCCACGGGGGAGCCTCTGGGAGACAACCACCACCGGTCGGGTCGTCCAGTGAGGACACAACTCCTCGAGGATCGAAGGATCGAGAGCTCTAAGAACCAGGAGCTTGCACATCTTGCAGGATCTCCGGGAGACAGCTCGCGGCCACGGCCGGAGAACTCATCGCAGGAGAGGCCCGGACGTCGATTCTGATCTGCGGTCCCAGACTCCTCGCAAAGTGAAAAAAAGCCACGAGTCGACGTGTTTGACCATTTTCGGCCCCCTGCCGGGCGAGGAACTGTGAAAACACTGCTCGGGGAGAAAAATCGGTCCCGGGGAACGGGTCCAGACCTCAGGGGTCCATGCTGTCAACGTAGTGGGTCTGGGGCCCCGTCCATGGGGGGAGGCGAGGAGGTGCAAGTACAGTTTGAAAGAGGAGCATCCTTCACGCCACAACCTGGCGACTCACGCAAAGAGACTGCGCGAGGGGCGTGCCCTGGCCGTTTGAGAGAGCAGGGAGCTTCTTGAGGAGGCCAGCCCGTCGCTGGGAGCTTCTGCTTCTGCGGAGCATTCTTCAAAAACAGAAGGCCGTGTGAGGGGCGGGGCGCTTACCGAGAGGGCCAGCCCCCTCGCCCCAGAAATCACTTCTGGTTTACGTCACTTGCGAAGATCCGCTGACGTACGGCGAAAAAGTGTTGGACGCGTCCATGCTTGCAATTATTATGCAGTTGCAGAGAACTGAGGTCTCTGCTGGCACACAGGGGCCAACAGGCTATAAGGTCTTGGTTGGCACACAAGCCACTGGTCCACGTGGGGAGCACTGCCGGGCAACCGGATTGCAGCGCAGTCCAACGCTGCGTTTTCACCCCCGGGGAACGTTGACGCCTGCGTGGCCCCTGTGACCGGGGTCGGCCCAGAGACACTTTCAGCCGCGAGTGCCACGAGGACCTGGACGTGCACGGACCGCCGCCCGGGCGCGCACGGACGCCCCCCCCCCCGTCGCCCTGACCCCCTTCGTGCGGAGGAGGCCGTGGCCCTCGGACGAGGTGCTCGCGCACGCGCGGGGCCCGCACGCCGCCGTGAGGGGATCGTCGGGAGAGATGGGCCGGCAGAACACCTTCGGAGCGGCAGAAGCCAGAGGGACTGTGAGGTTCGACAAGCTCGTCCTCCTCCTCCTCCTCCTCCTCCTCCTCCTCCTCCTCCTCCTCCTCCTCCTCCTCCTCCTCCTCCTCCTCCTCCTCCTCCTCCTCATGGTCGTCGGCGTCGTCGTAGTCGCCATCGCCATGGCCATCGGCCCCAGGGCGGTCTTCGACGATCCCTGAACGGCCTCCGGCGGCCTGCCGCACGCAGGAGCCGGGCGCCTGCAGCCGCACGTGCCAGAGGGCCCCAGGATCGGACACAGAGGGGCCCCTGACATCCGACGACGTGGCTGCTTCCATCCGCGGGCCGCAGAAGCCTGCGAACCCCTCCCCGGGGACACGGGACCCGAAAACGGCCCCCAGAAGCCGAGAGTCAGGAAAAGACGCCGCGGTTGGAGAAAAAAATCCGCCAGAGGTCTGGGTAAAGACTGGTGGTCGTCGTCTCCCGAATGCCCCACGCCTCCGGAGATTCGGGTCGAACGAAGAGGGGGGGCGTTGCAAAGGCGGGGTGAGCGAATCAGCTCGCGTAGCTGGTTTTTCTGGAGCCTCCCTACGCCCAGGCATTGAGGAAGGCGCGCCTGGCGGCGGGGCCAGAACCAGGTGCGCGCCGCAGATTTCGCAACCATCCCCCATTTCCCAAACCCAATCCCCGTCTCCTCCTCATCCTCCTCCTCCTCCTCCTCCTCCTCCTCCTCCTCCTCCTCCTCCTCCTCCTCCCCCCTCCTCCGTGACCCTACCATCCCACCATGGCTACTGTTCCAAGGGGAAATCAACAGGTCAAGGCACCAACACCGCTGCTCCAGGGACCCCTGCCGGGGTGCGGTCTGACCAGAACTTCCAGGCGAACCAAGCGGTTGCGACGAGGCCCTCCCGAGGAGACCGAAGGGGGGAAAAAAACTAGGGAAGGTGGTGAGGGGGCTCCCGCTGTGACGAGCGCCCGGCCTTAGGTCGGGCATGTCCCCCTGCAGGCGGATTTCGGACGAACCATAAAAATTGGCAACAAATACTCCAAGATGGTCCAAATACCATGTTTTTACTTATGTCTAAAAAAAAAATGCTTGTTCCCATGTTTGAATATTCTCCCCTTCGAGGGACAGGCCCGACTCAAACCCGGCCCCCTCCGTCCGACCCGAGAAGCATACCGCTCGCGCCCCGGCGCGGCGGCCCCGCGAGAGGCGGCCCGCCGAAGCCCGCGGGGGGCGCGGCGGCCGCCTCCTTGGGCCGCGCGGGCGCCCGCCAGCGCCGCGCGGGCGCCCACCAGCGCCGCGCGGGCGCCCACCAGCGCCGCGCGGGCCGCTGCGGCGGCTCAAGCTCGCCGGGCCTCGCAGCCCCCGCGGAGACCGAAGCTGGAGGAGCAGGTGGCGGCCTCCTCCTCCTCCTCCTCCTCCTCCGCCTCCGCCTCTTCCTCCTCCTCCTCCTCGTCCTCCTCCTCCTCCTATCCTCCTCCTCCTCCTCCTCCTCCTCCTCCTCCTCCTCCTCCTCCTCCTCCTCCTCCTCCTCCTCCTCCTCCTCCTCCTCCTCCTCCTCCTCATCCGCCCGCGAGAGCGGTCACTTCTGGAGGGGCGATTTCGGGGCGGCTTGTACGCGTCCGTCTGCTGTCTGTTTCTCTCTATTTTTCCTTCTCTGTCTCGCATTTCCTGTTGAATATGTTATTTCTTCAGTGTATTGTTCTGTCTCGTCTTCCTCTCTCGAAGTCACTCTTTCTCTCTCTCTCTCTCGTTGTCTCTCTTCTCTTGTCTTCTCAATGCCGAAGGGGTCCAAACAAAAAAAAAAGGATCGACCTCCTCCCCAACCGTAGAAAGAGAAAAATGAAGGGGGGGAAAAAAACGGCGGCCGATTTGTTTAGGGGTAGGGTAACCCCAAAACATATATCCTCGATCAAATGTTCCGTTTGTACTTGGGAAAGTCACTTTGTTTTCTAACATTCTGACGGGTAGGTACATCCTCCGGAACATTGTGTTTCACGATGTGTTTCTAACGCCCGAAACGAGAAAAACATACACACACACACACACACACACAAAAAAAAAAAAAATGTGAAACACATTGTTTCAACAGACGTCCCAAAACACTGTAGTATACAATATTGTTTGACATCAGAGAACCAAAAAACGTAAGTCACAGCGTTTTCGTTTGTCAAACCTCCCGAACACTGTTCGACACAGTGGTTTCTAATACAAGAAACCAGAAAAGCGCTGGAAAACATTATGCGTTCAATGGTCAAACACCCAAAACAATGTGATTCACCATGTTTTCTGATTTTCGGAACCCGAAGCATATCGTTTTGAGCGCCCAGACGACCCACAACAATATGCTTTACAATGTTGCTGACATCTGAAAACCAAAAAAAATTGCAAATCTAACCGTTTTCGGCCGTCAAACATCCCAAACATCGCTCCTCATCCTCCTCCTCCTCCTCCTCCTCCTCCTCCTCCTCCTCCTCCTCCTCCTCCTCCTCCTCCTCCTCCTCCTCCTCCTCCTCCTCCTCCTCCTCCTCCTCCTCCTCCTCCTCCTCCTCCTCCTCCTCCTCCTCCTCCTCCTCCTCCTCCTCCTCTTGCGCTTTTGCGCTCCTCAGCGAGCATCCCGACTACGCAAGATGCCCGCCGTGGCCAGAGGCTCAAGCACCTCTTTCGAGCTGCCCCGCCTCCACGCACACAGGAATGGCCACAGGGCTGGCGCGGTTCACAGGGTGCCTACCCTGCTTCAAACCCTTCAACGTCCTACGCCTCCACTCAGTATTCGAACTCTTGGACATGCCTGCGCGAGCTCTTCCACCTGCTGCTTCGCATAGGCTCCGCAGGAACTGCACCAAGTCACACTGTCACTATGCCAGAGCACTGGTGCAAGATGAGACGCGCCCGAAACGCCCGCCCAAGACCACGCACCCTACAACCCCAACCACCCTTGGGAGCCTGGGAAACGACGTGACCTTTACTGTCTAGAACCAGTTCCAAAAGCGGGGCCTCCGAATTCGCTTTCCTACTCACAGTCTCTCTCTTTGTTCTCTCTTTGTACTGTGACACATTAAGATACCCCGGGTTGTGAACAGACTTCATAACATCAATCATATATCTGGCCGGATAAGAAACCCAATCGCGATGAAGGCGCAACCGATCTCGAAGATAGAAATTCATCGGATGCGCCTTGGCACCTTGCTTCACCTACGAGCATGCTACTCTGTTGCCGAAGTAGCACTGGAGCTCGTGGTCCCGGCTCGTGGCCGCTGCACTCGTCATGTGCGAGGGCACCCAAACAACGCGAATAGTTTCTCGTCCGATGTCGTCGACCCTCTTCCAGAACAGCCGCCAGAGCTCAGCGTAATATGTATTCGCCGTCGTCGTTAAATCTCTCCCTGTCTGCCAACCATCATTCATAATCCTGCAGTCCGTGACTACCCGTATCCTCGGCCCCATGCCCCATAAGACACAGGGCCATGTAAGGGACGTAGAGCTCGGAGGACGAGACGTCGTGTACTGGCAACGACGAAAGGCCATAAGCGACGGCCTCCACCTGAAAAAAGGGAAAGGTTGACACCAAGGCCCATCCCGCACACAAAAGCCACCTGATGTCTCCATCATATGCCGAACCGTCAATACACACCGTGTCTCCCAGGACTCCCTGATGTGATTACACAGCCCATGTATAGACAGCCTCTTGGAGGATCTTTGGAGTCCACATGATGTCATGCCCGGCCGCGCACGCAGCCCTCGACTTACCACTGTGGTCCTGGTGTCTCGTATAATAAGACTCGACCCGTCGCGTCCCCACAGACGGTGAAACGTTGTCCCCACCTGCTGCAGGCACCACTGGCACAGATCGTCGGTAACGAACATGTTTCGGTAAACCGTTGTCTGAGTCCAGAGCCCACCTGAGGCCTGCGCAACCGAAAGACTAGCCCCCAATTGGTACCCAAGGCCTCTGAATCTAGCAAGTTCAGCACGCAGGGGCTCTATGAAGGGCTCCCACTGGACTCCAGAACGAGATTCGCCAGCTCGCAAACACAGCAGCCGCTTCGTAGCTTCATCAAATAAGACTTGGACAGTCCTGGACCCTATCTCCATGCCATCCGCCGCGACCCACAATTCCCAGGCACGTGTCTCCCAATAGAGTCTGCGGAGGGGCTGAACGACCGCTCCCGCTGGGCCCAGGACCGTCCTCCACCCTGCCTTTAGAACACTCTCGGCGTAGTCGGACGTCATGCGCGTCTGGCCCTGCGGCGCCCAGCAATCAAAACACGATCTGACCCACATCTGCAGGGGCAATGAACTAGCCTGGAACATCGGGCCGAGTCTCCCGACCTCAGCCAGAAGGAACTGCAGGCTCCTGCTCCTGCCCTTGGCTGGGCCAAGAAGCGCTGACGCCCGCTGCGACTCCAATTGGGTATCTGCGATGCCTACCTGCTCCTCCGCCTCTTCCTCCTCCTCCTCCCCCACCTCCACCTCCATCTCCTTCGGAAGGGAAGGAACCTCCTCTTCCTCCTTCCTGAAGGCCAGGGAAGGAACCAATTCGTCGTCCTCCTCCCATCATCATCACATCATCACCACCAGCATCATCATCAGCATCATTAGCATCCCCTTTGTCTGAGGAAACTGGAAGGCAATGACCCCCCGCCTCCTTCCTGAGGGAAGGGAAGGGAATGAACATTCTCCTCCTGCTCCTCCTCCTCCGCCTCCTCCCCCTCCTCATCATCAGCACCATCATATCCGCATCCTCCCCCTCCTCCTTGTCCTCCTCCTCCTCCTCCCACTCCCCCTTTACTGCGTGGAAGGGAGGGAACCTTCTCCTCTTTCGTCGGGGAAATGGAAAGGAAGAAATCGCATCTCCCTTCCTGAGGGACAGGGAAGGGAATGAACCTCAGTCACCTCCTTCGCGAGGGGAGAAAAGGGATCGCCTTCTCCTACATCCTGAAAGAAAGGGGAGGGACGGAACATCCTCCTCCTCATCCTCCTCCTCATCATCATCCTCCTGTGCTTGCTCTTCGTCCTCCTCCTTCCTGAAGGAACAGGAAGGGAAGGACATCATCCTCCGCGTTCCTGAAGGGTGAAGTAAGGAAGGAACCTCCTCCTCCTCCTCCTCCTCCTCCTCTTCCTCCTCCTCCTCCTCCTGCTCCTCCTCTTCCTCCTGACGGAAAAGACAGGAAAGCAACTTCAACATATTCCTCCTCTCCTGTTCTAGGAAAGGGGAAGAGAATGCACCTCCTCTTCTTCCTTGTTGGGGGAAGAGAAGGGAAGAAACCTCTACCTCCTCCTCATCATCATCATCATCATCAGCATCATCATCATCACCACCATCACCATCATCATCAGCAGCCTCATCACCACCACCACCATCATCATCATCATCAGCATCATCATCATCACCATCATCATCAGCATCATCACCACCACCACCACCATCATCATCATCAGCATCATCATCATATCATCGTCATCCTCTTCCTCCTCCTCCTCCTTCCCCTCCTCCGCCTCCACAATTACTCAAAATGAATACTACTCTCCCTCTTCCCCTGATGATGTTTTTTGCGTATTCCCCCCCCCCCCCCCGCGTACTCTTTTTTTGCACATACGATTCCCCGGAGTTGGGTTTTCGCCTGCGTTTTCTTTCAAAATGCTGCTCTCGCTCAGGCGCCGGCCTCATTTCTGCTCCCGAATCGTTCCGAATCGTGCTCCCGCTGCAGCGTGGGCCTCAGTTTCGGATTGGTGTTTTGCCTCCGTCGTTCAGGATAGCGTTCTCGCCCCAGCGCGGGCCTCTTTCTCGCGCGCCCATCCGCCCGCCACCACCGCGCCGCACCACGCCCCGCCCCGCCGCACGCACACCCACCGCCACTTCCACCCACCAACGCACGCACGCACGCACGCGCACCACCACCGCGCACCGCCACCACCACCGCACTACCCCACCCACCACCACCACGCTACACCGCGTCACACCACATCACACGCGCGCACACACAGCACACGCACGCACGCACGCACGCACGCACGCACGCACGCACGCACGCACGCACGCACGCACGCACGGCACGCACACACACACACACCACACACACACACACACACACACACACACACACACACACACACACACACACACACACACACACACACACACCACACACACACACACACACACACACACACACACACACACACACACACACACACACACACACGCACGCACGCACACACGCACACACACACACACACACACACACACACACACACACACACACACACACACACACACACACACACGCACACACACAGACACACACACACACCACCACCGCCACCACCACCACCGCCATCACGCACGTACGCA